CCCCAAAAGACTTCAGGCCTTCAACAGAAAACTCCAAATTAAAAAATTACAAGAATAAATGAGAATTTGAGGGTGCATACCCTGACATCTGAGGTATTTTAGATGAAACCATTTGATACAGAGATACAGAGAAAACCAAGTCTACATTTTGATGTTTAAACCTTTAAAAGTGTCAAATTTGTGAAAATAGGAGGAGTTTGCAAAAATTTGTAGTTTAGAAAGCTCTAACTTCTGTTAGAAAATTGGACATTATATACTGTAGCTCCTTTCACAGAAATAGATCACAAAGTGCTTCACAAGGAGCAAAAATAAAATAAATAGTACAATAAGCATAAAAGCATATGTTAAATAAGTTAATGCGATTGATAAAGCATTAAGTAATACATTTAGCTAAAAGCTCAATGACCTCAGTCGATGCCTGAGCAGAGAATAACGCCAGACAGTATAAAAGGCAGACACACATATACAGGATCAGATCAATCTTAACTATTATTTCCAGTATGTAAATCACAAAAATAATGTCAGCTCACCTTTAACACATCAAGTAAGTCCTTCTCGAGGATATCAGGAAAGTTGATCTTATGAGAAGGATTGATGATGGCATGCAGCTTGGCGATTTGATTCGTGATGCTTTGGAATGGAGTCTTCCCAAAGGTCATGCAGTATAGGATGCATCCAAGGGACCACACGTCACCTTTAGGGCTGATCTGTGCAACAACATCATCTTTACTTTTTATATTACTAACAATATTTGTAATATGCTATTAAAAACAAAATAAGTACCTTTGAGTGAACTTTTCCTGATAGGGATGACGTGTCTTTGATGGCTTCAGGAGGCATATAGTTCAAGGTTCCTACCTGTGGGGTGAACATGTTTAGATTATTTAGATTCAATTTTTATTTTTCTTTTCACATTATGTCATGCGCCAGCAGGTGCCCAGTCCACACGAGTTTACTTTGATAGTAATTATGGCGCAAATGGTCCTCACTCTGTAGTAAAAACAAGTACATGTGTGTGCACGCACACACACGCACACACATACAAACACACACACACACACACACACACACACACACACACACACACACACACACTGATTCACTATAACTAGTGACAAGAGATACATGAAAATAAGCATTAACTAGAAGCACTCTGAGAGTGCAAACCTCCACCAAGACCAATTTCCCCCATCCTGTAAGAGTTAATGTGAAAAAGCAGAGATGGAAACACATTTGCCGAATAAGTTCTGACGTAGTGAACATTTAAGCGAAAGGTCTTTCTGTGCGGAGTTTGCATGTTCTCCTCGTGATTGCGTGGGTTTTCTCTGGGTACCCCGGTTTCCCCCACCCCACCAAAACATGTACAATAGGTTGCCTTCAGGCCCAGGCCTCCCTTGAAAAATAAATCTGAGATCTCAACGGGACTTGCCTGGTCAAATAACGGTAAATAAAATTTAAAAATAAATAAATAACTGCACCTCTCGTTGCAACTCCAGTGCTGTTGAATTGTAATAATTTTTTTCTTGGATTAATCTGCTATCATTTTAATTGCAATTACTATTCTACAAAGATATACATTTAAATGGTGAATCTTTGAAATATTTCTCTTATGTTGAACGCGTTTGTTGTTCTGCTATGACAGTCTAACCACCCACATTTACCAGTCATCTTGTATTGCAAAACTGACAACAATGTAAAAGTCTCTAAAGTAGTGTTTCCATGGAATGATTTGAAAATGTAGAGATTATTTGTTTATTCAAAGGATCTCCATTAGTCTCCAACATAGTAGTTCACATAAAAACTAATAGTTATTTAATTATAACAAAGAACATTTTAATTTCAAACATTTTTTAGCAAAAACTGCCCTAAGAAAAAGATGTGTCTACAGCAGTTGAAAGGTAAAGATTATCATTATTAAAAGGGCAGAGACTATTATTCAAGTTTATCAAATGTGAATATAGGCCTCTTGGAAACATTTGCATTTTTTTCACTGTTGATTAATTTATGGCAAATAAACAAAACATGGAATAAAACACATTTACATGGATAATGCTGTACTCGTAAATCCATTGTAGTTTCTATGCCAGGCAGAGTTGCCAAGTAAGAAATGACAAAATGTTGTGCAGTCGCTTTAACATTATCATATTTTGACCCAAATTTTCCTATGTGTTGAGTGAAGGTGATCTCAGAGGGTGGAGGTTGTGAACTACAGTGTGATTGGCAAACAAGTGCACAGAAAAGAAGGCGGGAGCTTAACCCTAGAACTAACTGTAACAAACCTTTCTAGAACCAAGGCTGGTTTGCTCCTACAGGCTGGAAAGGGTGAGCAGCACAAACAGACCGCTGCTATGCACTAGTGTTACTGTAGTTCATCTACCTGCAAAAGTGCAGAAAATTTTTTGACTGAAACCGTCCATAGTGCACACATGCAATTTCATACACCTGGGGAAGGGTGTATGTGTAAAAGTAAAAAAAAAAAAAAACCCCGTGATCTGAGACCTGGATTCAAAAAGCTTTGGTTTCAGAAAAAGCTAGTGTGGTTGTGGTGTAAATATGCAACTGAATCGGGCCTGTATTTATCAAACTTCTTAGAGTGGAATTTTAGACTTAAATGCTGAAAATTTTTTAAATTTACTCTTACTTTCAGACTTAAGCATAAAGGCAAATTATCAAAATTCTTAAGTATAAAGAATCACTCTCACTCTCTCGTAAATTTAAGACAGCTCCAGGTGTCTCTTAAGTAGTTAAGAGTCACCACTAGGGGTCTGAGATGGACTAAAAATATGGAGATCACACAGATCACAGCTGTCCTCCTCAAGAATAATGCACCACCTCAGAAACTGCACTAAGTGGTCCAGGGGACCCCCACCTGAGTGTTATTCTCAGCTATGATGTACAGAGTAATTAAAATAAGGTGTGGAAAACAGGTTTAGTCATGCAATACAAAATAAAGAAGTGGAGAAAAACAACTATTTCCAATGTGCATAATGTTGGACTAAAAAGGTGGATATTTCTGTGCGGCTTTTGGAGACAATATTAAACTATCAACTGGTGAGTGAAAGCAGACAACAAGGTGGGATTGAACTTTCTTTTATTGGGTCTTCTTTCTTTAACTCAAACTTCATGAAATCTGCAAATTTCTATTAAAAATAAACCTGTAGTACTCAATACAAATATAGAGTACAGGGGTTGGGGGTGGGTGTCAAGGACAAAGTGTGTGTGTGTGTGTGTGTGTGTGTGTGTGTGTGTGTGTGTGTGTGTGTGTGTGTGTGTGAAGGGGATGTTGTCTGTGGGCAGTTTAGTGGAGGAGGAGAAGAGTGAGGTGTGTTTAACATTGCCTCAGGCTTTGAGATGTAAAAAGAACATTTAAGCTGAAGTGTTTGAAAAAAAAAGAAAAGAAAAAAATAGATTTTCTTTATTCATTATGTAAATGAGAAAATTTTATGTAATTTACGGACAGTCACAACAATTTTATCTTGACATTTTTCAGAATATTCTTGAACATGAAATCCAATGCAGTGATAGGTCCATGCCTTGTGGGTTTTGTAATGTAGCATGAATGAACATGACCCCTGACATGTCCTTTTGACCACCATTGGTCATGTCTTACAACCAGCTTGAACTTTGTCTTGAAAAAGCTGTCACAAAACTATTTTAGCTTCAAAATATGACCTCGTTTGCAGATAACGCTGACGTCACAAGTCTGGTTTAATCTTTTGTGATTCATTATAAAAAAAAAAAGAAAATAATCATTAACATGATTTTCCTTTTTAAAGGTATTTCATTTTCAAGTGTGTATTATCATACTGTGATCTGAAAACGAATAATTTCAACTGTAGTTTAATTTTAACATCCAGTGTTAAATGTAACAGACTGTTCTCTTTTCCCTTTCTCCAAGCAGATGAGCAGGAGAAAGTGTGTGCATGACACTACGCCACTCCGTCTAGGTAAATATAATATTCTCCCCAAAAGAAATATCATGTTTTCCTGACAGAGACCTGGTTATCTATGTTTTGACTAGTCACACAGTTGTACGCTGCGTACCAAACAGACCAGTCCAGTTTTGGTTTTCAGATGGTGCGGACCTGAGATTTGCTGAGGAAGGTGAAAGCTTCAAGAAACCTAAGATGGATCAGAACCATTTTGGGAAAATGTAATTTTTGATTTCTGCAAATGAGAACTTTGATGAGATTCTTCTGACATTTAGTAAGATAAAAGTTACAAAAAATAATCTGGCTCAGACCTTATTTTCTTTCGAAACTGACAACAGCTTATAGGTTTTAACCTGAATCTCTTGTCAATTAATTAATAGAAGAAAAATATTTCCTTTGGGAAAATATATTTTCATTCTATAAAAGGTTTTTAACATCCAGATCTTATCTTAACTAGACAAATAACATAAAGTCTACAATCCTCTTCATCTTTAACCATTTTAGAAACCTTAGTGCTTCATCTTTCATGTTTTTATTTTTTACTGTTTTAGTCATGATTCAATTAAATTGATTCTTGCTATATTTTTGTAATAAATTTCCTCATCTTTGAGTATTTTGGCCTGAGATAATAATTCACTTTTACATCATATTGAAGAAATTTATTGGGGTTAGGTTATATACTGATTTTAATTACACCACACATGGTATAGTCTTATGATTAGACAAACTGTAATAATTGTTAAATGTGACTGTTTTACTTAAATTGATGATTTTATATAGGTAGGTACATGCTTGAACACAGATTCAACACATAACTGTTGATCTTCATTAGAGTAGATTATTTTAATCGTCTGGAGGCATGACTCACGCTGGTTAGGGGCTGGATCACTAGTGTTTATTGATGATGTGACAAAGCACAGAAGCAGCCGAATGAATTCTGAGGTATTCAGAGCCATACTGTGTGCTCAGATCCAGCCAAATGCAGCCAAACTGATTGGTCATCGTTTCATATGGACAATGACCCAAAACATAAAGCTAAAGCAACCCAGGAGTTTATTAAAGCAAAGAAGTGGAATATTCCTGGATGGCCAAGTCAGTCACCTGATCTCAACCCAACTGAGCAGCATTTCAATTGTTAAAGACTAAACTTCAGACAGAAAGGCCCACAAACAAACAGCAACTGAAAACAGCTGCAGTGAAGGCCTGGCATTAAAAAGGAGGAAACACAGCGTCTGGTGATGTCCATGAGTTCAAGACTTCAGGAAGTCACTGCCAACAAAGTGTTTTCAACCAAGTACTAGAAATTAACGTTTTATTTACAATCATTTAATCTGTCTAATTACTTTTGAGCCTCTGAAATGAAAGGATTGTGTTTAAAAGATGCTTTAGTTCCTCACATTTTTATGCAATCATTTTGTTCAACCCACTGAATTAAAGCTGAAAGTCTGAACTTCAACTGCATCTGAATTGTTCTGTTTAAAATTTATTGTGGTAATGTCTTGAACCAAAATTAGAAAAATGTCTCTGTCCAAATATACTGTATATGGACCTAACTGTATGTAAATTTCTTACTATTATAATTGAAGGTGAGCTGTGTAAATCTTTGTTCTTATCAAACAAGTGGCTCTTTGTGTTAAAGGTTGACGACTCCTGTCCTACAACAGTACTTACCATATTATTCACCATTCGGGCTTTTGGTTGTAGAAATAGGAACACACATTTTATGCTGGTGCTACAACTTTTTGTTCTGTGCTACAAAACCAGCAACCTCTGTAGCACTAGTGCTATGAGCTAAAAAAAAAGTTAACGTACAACCCTGGGAACAGATGTTCTAAACTTACTTCTTCTCTCTCTCCTCTTTACTTCTGCTCTGCATCTACAATGCCTCTTTTTCAACTCCTCTCGGATTTAAAAATAAACGTCCTAAAAAAAAACCTTTTCCCCCAGAAAGGCAGAGAGGAACAAACGCACGAAAAAAATAAAAATCTCAATGAAAGTAACACTACTCCAAGCGCTGCCACCCTGAGCAGCACAATTGTTTAACACAATTAAAACTGTTTCCAAGATCTTCAATGTGTGTTCTTTAAATGGCAGCAGCTCTGAGGGGAAGTTTCATTATTTCAAATATGCTGATTGTTCAGGCTCTTAGCAAAAAACCCAACAAACAATCATCAGAAGTATGACTGACCTGGGAATCCTTCATAATGCTTGTCACATCAGGTTGAATTCTGTTTGCAATGCCAAAGTCAATCAGCTTCAGCGACGCATTCACAAAGACAAAATTCGCTGGCTTCAAGTCACTGTGAATAATTCCTGCAGAACACAAACAAAAAGGATTATAAATTCATTTTCTATCAAGTTGAATCACTGATAACATGGGAACAGGAGCAATAAAAGGGAGAGAACCGTGTTTGTGGATAGTGTGGACGGCCTCTAACATGTTCTTCCAGTAGAACTTCCTCTCAAGTGGGTTTACAGTTTTGCGGTTTCGCAACCAAGTATTCAGATCCAAGTTCCCACATTCCATCAACATGTAGATGTAGCTGCTGGTTATTTCACTGCGTAAATGCATAAAACATTAAATATTAAAAACAAAGAAATTGTTCACACAAGAAAATTCTAAGGAATCATCACAGCTGAGCTGACGTTTTTTTCTCAGTGAAAATTAAAAATGTTTCTTAGACGATTCACACACATTTTATTTTCCTCAGCTGTGTGTGCGCACCGCAGGCCATGCGCTCTGCGTGTTTCTCCAACTCGAGACAGAAATATAAAAACTGTACAGTTTACAGACTGGACTGAGGTTCTTTTGATAATTTTTAGGCTGATCTACTTTCTTGTCTGAGGTTAAATGATTTTCAGTCCCGGGGTTCAGTTTCATGATCGATCGAGTTTAAACAATAAAACCTCAAACTAAAAAAAAATCTAACACTTTGTTCAGATGCTCCTTACATCCAGAAAACACAACAGAGTCACATTTCTGTGGATTCAGGTCAGATTCATTACTTTGTTGGTTAAAACTGTCAACTGAAAAACTTTGCGTGGCTGCCGCACATTCTCACGGCAGGTGAAAAATGTGTGTAAATATACACACTTTCACGCAACGTTGGTTTTAATACATCCCAATGTGGGCGTAGAACCTGGCGCACGCAACTTTTTTGTGCGTACGTACCGTTTCTACATGAGGCCCCAGAGCCCTGTTGAGAGAAGTGATTGTGATGATGTACAGAAATGGCCGGGCGGGATCAGAAGTAGGTTCTTAAAGAGATAGAGGCCAATTTCAAGGTGTTTAGAAACAGATGTGATGATGATGCCTTTATTGTCACTGTACAGAGCACAACGAAATTACATTTAAGAAGATATGATGTGAAGTCAAGTTTATTTTCTATTTAAACATGTAAACCACAATTTAATGATAACTAAAGGTGACATAGTTACTTTATTATTGCATAGAATTTAAATATAAGCCTGAGAAACACATAATATTGCCCCTTTAAAACCCAAATTAAATGACTAGTTTAACTGTTTTTTCTATATAATCTTCTAATCTCTATGATGTGGTACTGTAAGTGCTTGAGTTCATGTGCAAAGTGTTGTGCTATTTGCGTTTTTTTTTTTTTGCAACTGCAGAAAACTGAAGGTTAAAAAGAACATGGTATGTGAAATATGACTGTAAAGAGACTTGCCTTTTTCAAAAGAATAAAAAAATTTATATATAGGTCTGTGTGTAAACTTTTTTCTCCAAACTGAGGCCAACAATAGGTGAGACATTGGTTCAATATTTTCCACAGAACCCAACTTTAAAATTACAAATGCCCCCATGACATACTGATCCCTATCATGCCATATACTCACTAATCATAGAGCTTTATGATTTGATCGCTGTACTGCTGCAAGTGGTTCAGATGTTCAATTTCATTTTTGTAGCTTTCTACTATCTGAGCATCCGCTTCATCGAGGTCCACGTATTTCACAGCAAACAGCTGCTTTTTCTGATCAAGAACCTGGTAGACCTAAAAGAATAAAATAAAATAAAAAATAAAATAAAATCAAACTGTAATAGGTTTTAATAGCAACTTGTAAATAAAATTGTAACAGCATCGATGGAACTCATCTGTAGTTTTTGTTTTGTTTCACCTTGCTCGAGCCACCACGTCCAATCATCTTCAGAATGAAAAACTGCTTCCCCTTGATTATAATAGATTCGTTAGACAAAGCACTGAAGGAGGCCTAAAATGAGAATCAGACAAATATTAAATAGTATATAGTATATATCCCAGAAATAATGATTAAGAAAAATGTAAAAAACAATAAATTTGAAATGTATTAGAAATTCCATTTTTCAGTGAAGATACCGGTTTAATTCAGGTAAGGGGTGGGGCATGTTGACAGATTTGTACCAGATATTATACATCCATTTGTCCTATGATGTAACAAAAGCATTCATAATGTATTCAGGCCATCCAGCGCATGTCAGAAAGCTATGATATCTTCAACTGCATCATTGGACATTGCAAAATACCTTATAAATGTTGTGTATTTAGAAGGTTTTCCTGAAATAGCTTCAGAGTTAACGGCTCCATACTGCAACCCCTTTTTTTCTGGGTCATATTCTCAGTAACATTTATAAGGCAGGTTAGTTTTTCCCTTTGACGACTTGTATAGATTGTTGTTGAACACTACATCACCAATATGCCAATTGTAAGGGGAAAATTTTGTACCTTTTTTTAGCAGGAATCACACAAGGAGATGAACAAATATAGAAAATTTTCCCTCTGATGAAGCTTTAACACCCAGACCATATGATCGTCTTATATGATCTGGTCAGCCACTGTACAATAAAAATAAGTAGTAGTCATAAAGAAAATCATACTTGTGGATTCTGGAAACCAGCTGCTTGGAATAGAGGTGTGCATGGCTGCTGAATGAATTCAGTTCTGTTATCTGCTACTGCAGAAGATGGCACCTCAGGACCTCGCTTAACAATAGGAGTTATAACACTGAAAGTAAAAAAAAAAGTGTTATGTTTATGTACTTGAGTGTCATATCATCCTCATAAACAGCAAATTCTTTAATAAGCAAATAAGGCCACACTTTTCTTAAAATTTGTGACTATTTTATAGTCAGAATGGCACATAAGCAGTGCACAGGTACGCATGCACGGTCAAAAAAGGAAAAAGCACACCAGATGTAACGTCATAAAGCTCCCTTGCGTACCT